AAGTGCATAGTTCTACTATTAATAAGTATTATTAATAATACTAACTATTATTAAAAAGTAGATAGTATTATCACTAATAAAAATAATTGGACATTACATTGCATGTGGTTTTATATTCTGATTTCGTATAATAATATATATTTTTTATAGCATTTGAAGATCGTTGTATGAATGAAAGATTAGGTGCCTTTCGTTTAGATATTGGAGAATACAATGTAAACGTTCTCCATAATCCACCAAAGGAAAAAGAACATCATTATTTGCCATATATTGGCAATGGAGTTTTTGCAATTCCTATTGTACCAGAGGCTTTAATATATATAAAACGAGGACGAGCACTGTCATTGCCCATACAATGGCAACCATTAATTTCTCATCCTTTACCAAGGAACACTTTCTATCGTGAAGCTACGATTACTCACTTTACAAATGGGATTGTTTATCACTATCAATGCCTTAGAGAAGGATATTATATAGAGTTTCAATATTATGCTCACAGAGTATTTGATACAATACTTGTACAAGATATAAAAATAACTAATCCACTTTCACTTTCTCAAAATGTACTATTGAAACCACAGGTGTCCACACATTGGAGCAATTCACATATAGAAGTGATCAAGTAATTATTGAACTTAACATGTAACATAGTAAATGTTTAGTTTTGTGGGCTATCGATATTCTTTAAAAAAGAATTTATATAAATGCTAAAAATTATTTTTTTAATATTTATTAAATGCTAATGTCATTATATGTGCTTATACATAATTGTATTTATTTGTTTAGAATTCATGTAGATAATGTTATGCATGATTATAACTTAATTTCGGGTTTTGTTGCACAATCTAATTCAAACAAAATTGTGTCAATATCAATACTTTATAAAGTTCCACCAAGAGTATTACAAATTAAAGCAAGAAGTTCTATGAAATTAAAGTTTTTGACAAGTATACAATATAGTGAACCCATAATTATGGAAGATTACCAAACTCATTATGAATTGACCAAAAAAAAAGCTATAGAGGTGTGTGTAAATTGAAAAGCAATAAAATTTTATTGTAGATTTCAACTTCATAAAATTTATTATAGGCTATAAAAAAAGCAATCAGCATTCAGCACCAAAATTTGAAAGATGACCATATTAATCTTTGGCAAAGTTATTGGTATACAGGCTTTAGAATAAGTGATTCTAAAGCTGATGGAGCTATTAATGGTCATAAAATAAATTCCACCATATATTACATTTTATCACAAATTTCAAAGGGCATTCCAGATATAGAAAAAAATGTAGCCATGTATGAAGGTTGTTATCGTGGGCATCATACTTTGTGAGTAACACGAAGTTGTATAAACATTTCTCTGTAAAATTTATAGTTTATTATTTATTTTAGGAATGCACCACGGTTATGGAAGGATACATCCTCCATAGATGCAGTGAATAATGTAGTTGAAGCATGGTTAATAACACTAGAAAAGCAAGGATGTCATCATTTAATGACTGGTGATCCAGCAGCAGTGCAACAATCTATTGTTTTAAGTCTTGGTAGTTTACGATTTAGCAATCAACATCTTGAATTTAACATTGATCCACAATATCTTCATCGAGATTACCTGTTTAGGTATTGTATTAAAATATTCTTATAAGAACTGTGGTAAACGTAATTGTTGTGTATGATTATTATAAAAATTGATATTAAAAAATAACAAATACAGTTGTTCACAAATGAAATAAAAAAAATTCAGCGACCCGAAGGTCTTACACTCTCCGTATTAGAATTTTTTCTACTGTTCTTTCATATAACTATATAGTTGCATTAACTACAGAATGAATTATTTGCTTGTATCAATTAACCTTGAATAGA